CATTCCAATTGCGTCTCATTCTTCGCGAGAAAAACACATGCATGTAAATGTAGATCTATAAAGATTCAACCAGTAAAAATGACAGAAAATAAACTGAATGGTCTTTGATTTTCATTCATTTTTTAGCAAATATATACAAGCTTAAACATCCAAACTAAAACTAAAAAAAGAGAAAGCAAAGATGGCGGATTTTTAGAGGAAAACAGATTTGGATTTGATGAGAAGAATCCCACCCACGAGATCAAGCTCCCACCATTTCCTTCAGCATTTCCCTAAAAGAACCTTATGTTTCGAAGCTAACCTATCAAGGAAGAACACCAAGAAATGGAGCTCCTTTGAATCCTACTCAGTCACACTTCTAGAAGGCTCAGCAATTCCTTCTTTTAACCGCCGCTCTTCCTCCTTCAAAACTTCTCTTCTTCAGATTTTTTGATCCCCTCTTTTCCTATTCCTAAAACCTCTGTTTACATAGCAAGTAGGTAAAAACCTATTTTAACCCCATTTTATTAAATTTAAAAATTTTAACTTCTTATTTTTTATTATAATATTTTATATTAATTATTAATTTTGTTAATTGAAAATAAGTTGTTGTCGACTAATAATTTTAATAAAATATTATATTATTTTTGTTAATTAAAAAAAACTTATAAATAATCAATTAATAAAATTAATAATCAATTAATAAAATTAGTGTGAGGATTTAAATATTATAAATTAAAAAAAATTAAAAATAAGATAAAAATTAAAATATTTAATCTTGACAAGGTGAGGGGCCAAGTAGGCTTTTCCTCCCAAGTAAGGGAAAAACCCTAGAATCTAAAACCCTCAACAAGCCAATACTCGTTGGAACTGCCCATTTGGATCTACATATCCCGGACTTTTGAAATGTGATTTTGGGCCTTGATATGCAGAAAGACAGCCCATATCAAATCCCCTTTTAGCTGAAAGAATGATCTGAACAGAAACTGATCAAATCTGCAGTCAAACTGGGAGTTCTCAGGAAGCTTCTTCTCGGCGTCATCGCGTGAATAGCACCTCCGTTACCAACCAATACATCCGGCTTCATTTGCTCCTGTTCTGCTGTTCACTCGCCGGGCGTAGGTGATGCTGGACTGCGGCAGTGGTTCGAGAAGGTGAGTGTGGGTGACGGCTTCCCGATTGACTGCAACCAAGGACTTTGATGTGGAAGGGAGTCGGAGATGGTGAGATCAAAAGAAAGGAACCGACGATTGTAGAAGGAGAAGGAGAAAGAAGATGGTTGCCGGTGGCCTTTTGGGTTGGTGTTGGATTGGGTTTGGCTTTAATGGGCTCATTATTGAGATTTGGGTTGGGTTTGTAAATTTGTCTTGATGAACTTCATCCCTCCAACTTTCCATTTCTTCAACTGAGTCCTTCTCTCATCTTCTTTTCCAATCCTCTTCATAAAATCCCATTTTTGCTCACGAACCTAACAAGGAAAACAAAAATAAAAAACATTATTAAAAATAAAAATTTCATTAAAAATTTGAGCTATGACACATATAAGGCTACATAGACATTTCACATAAAATTATGTCAATTTCTTTGGCCAATAGTCGACTTTTTAAATTAAGAGTCAACTTTTAACAAAGAAAGTCAACTATATCGAGCACTCATACGTTCCCAATTCTTTGGAATTTGAGAGTCGAATGTTGACCTTATATAGTCGACTCTTAAAGGCTTAAAAATCAAATTTAGATTTTTAGAGTCGACTCTTTACTGTTCAAAAATCGACTTTTTACATAGAGAGTTGACAATGCCATGCACCAGGATGTTCACAACTCTCTGGAATTTGGGAGTCAAATGTTGAGCTTATATAATTGACTCTCGAAGGCTCAAAAGTCGAATCTATCATCATAGATTCGACTATTTACTGCTCAAGAGTTGACTTTTTACATAGAGAGTCAACCATACCTTGCATCAGGATATTCTCAACTCTCTGGAATTTGGAAGTTGAATTTTGATCATTTATAGTCGACTCTGGATGTATCACTTCTTAAATTGTTACGAAATCTATCTTCTTCTTCTTCTTCTTTTT